AATTATACCCCCCCTCCCCCCAAAATATATATATATATATATCTATATCCATATCACTACGATTCTTTTTATTCTTTAAATTTTAAAGTGTCACGTAACCAACAGAATAAATTAATAACCACGGCACTTATAAAAGTGTATTTATAAGAATCGTGTTCACCGAATTTTTCAGACAATTCTTTACTTACGTTATTTCATCATTTAATTTTTTTTCAATATCTTAAACATTTTTCAGACAATTCAAAATATATATATATATATATATTAGCCTAGACACCGTTAAAAAATTTATTATTACTTTGAAGTACTAAATTCATATATTCAAGAATCAAAATGACACAAAAACACCATATCCCACTGCATCAAAAAACAATCTCAGAACAAAAACATATAGCTTGTTATAAATGAAAATATACACCAGTTATTCAACTATACCGTAATTAGTACAAATAAAAAGTTTATAACTGTTGACATACATAAAAACTCTAAAGGTGAACCAAATACCCTCCAAATTGGGAGCTCTGTTTCTTAAAGATACTTGTCCTCTTACATGACTACAACAACCAACCACTTTTAACAAATAAGGTAATTTTCTTCATATTAGTAAAAAGCTCGTGCAACCAAACAGCAATGGAGTTCAAATCTCCGTATCCTCTTTTTATTATAATTTTACTCTCATGCATAATTCCATGATACATAATTAAATTAATTATATGTAATACTAACTCATTACATCACTGTTTTTCAAATCACTACAAACTATTAAAAAGTTAAAAACTGGAGGTATGGTGTCCTGGAGGGCGATGTTCAAATTATATGCATGCTACTAGAATTTAAATTATAAATAAAGCATTTTCTCATTACGATAAGCTTTTCCAAGGAGATAATTAATCACCAAACTCCATTTTCCACACATACTTGCCCTCCAACCTGTACTTAGAGGGGGAACAAAATAGAGAACCCTCCTTGCTAAGGCATGCATATAATACCAATAAGAGAATAAGGTGTTGCGTCATTACCCAAAACCAACATCAGTAACGAGTATTGTCAAAAACCCAAGGTTCATGCAAGAAAAGCTCACGGCCATTCATTGGTATCATTCCAGAAGCTATGCCTTCTGCACGTTTCCTGCCTGCTTCAGCCTTCCTAGCTGATGCATCTGCATCCTGCACAAAGAGGAAACACATCTTCAAACAGAAAGCGGAACACACAACCAGGTTTACACTTCAATCCCTGGCAGCATATCAATAACTGAGTATATACAAAAGTTTGAAGAATCTTAGATTCTAAGTCAACTAGTCGAAAGATGATAGTCAAGCAGTATCTCGATCCAAGGCATGACTAAGAGTTAGTATTAAAAGAGAGTTAACTCGTCAACCTCCAAAAACTATAGTACAAAGTCAACCTCCAACAACTATAGTACAAACTTACCAAATGATTCTTGATGTGGAAGTAATATTTAAAATATCCAATCCAAAGAAACTTCGTGGAATCCACCCCTAAAGATACATTTCAATCAAAAAGTGAGCTGAATAATGGATCAACATCAAGTTCCAAAACCCCTAAATGTAAGGAAATTGTTTGCTTTTTGGATGTAGACAAAGTGGGAACACGAATTACGAATGCCGAAGGAAAAATAACTTGTATGTTGGAATGAAAGAAAATGAAGAGGTCCAAGAAAGAGACGATGGTTATATATCCTACAAGGATGATGATTTAGCTTTTAGTGAACACTTACCTCTCTTTTGTTAAGGTGCATATTGTCATACTCCAGACTCTTAAGGTCTTTCCTTAAGAGTCAACTCTATGGATGGACAAGAAAAATCAGTATGTCTTCGTGATGCTCAATATCTTTTCCCAAGCGTCGGCTCTACAAAGTCCCACGCAACCAGGGATTTGACATAGCAATTGGTCCACACGGTGATTTCATCCTACCACCAAGATTTAACACTCCTAAACAATTATGCATTTCTATTATTTTAGGTATTAGCAAAAACAGCGAAACACAAAGGACGCCAAGTTTTCATGGGGAAGCTCAAAGATCAAGGTTTTACATCATTTGCCACTTCAAAGCTCCTGAATGAGTTTTCTCCAACTAGAGGAGAATGACATACTAATTAGAGCCCAAGTTCTGAAACTTCCTCTGGCAAATAGAAGGACAAGACAGTAGATTTTCCAAATCTGCTTTGCTTATGAATGAGTATCATCTCCCTATTTCTTTTTTCTTTTGAAAAAAAGAATGAGCTACAATTTAGGGCTCAAAAAAAGGGAGGCAGGGAGGGAAAGAGGGGGAGGGAAAAGAACTGGTCACATCCTCACTTGGAAATCATCCTCCCACCCTCCCCATTTAAAACTTCGTTGTTTTTGGTCCACTTTGTGAGCAGCAAGTATGACCATTATGCATATGTTAAACGAGAGAAGAACTGGAATCCCCTACAATCTCATTTAAGGTTAAGCTTACGAAGAAAAAGATCTTCTTGTAATGTACGACAAAATGCTTGTAAATTCAAAAAGATTCCAACTGGAATTTAGATTTAGTCAGCCTTAGATAGGTAATTTTTTAAGCAACTAAACCTAGATGACATGGAAATGGCTACTTAGTACTATATTTCAGTGAGCTTGGGTCATGCTTGGGAAGATCAAGATGAAAAATGAGAAATCTGAAACGATAAGAAAGTGCAAATTTTCAAGTCAATCTTCTCTTTTCCTCCGTAAAGGGATAAAAGAAAAGTTAATGAAAGTCGGTGAAAATTCCATCCCTATCAAAGAAATAATCCACAGATGAACTTAAACTACAGTTTTAACACAACGAAAGCTTTTATTGATCATGTCAATACTCAATGGCTACGATAGAATAACATAGTTTCGTAAATTTTAAACAGTTTTTTTTTTTTTTTTTTTTTTTTTTTAAATGGGGCATAAATTTTAAACAGTTCAAAAAAAAATACCGGGAGTTTTTATTTACTCAATGACATGTCAATCTCATGAAAGGATAAAGATGCATCTCCTTTTCACTTAATCAATAGCCTTGGCTTTCAAATCTATAAGGAAATATCAAGTGCAAAATTGGATCATTCGTCTTAATCCATTGTAAAGCGAAATTCGTGCCATTATCTCAAATCGAGTGAATTTCAAATCAAGAAAGTAACTAACCTAGTTCAGACAGAATTATAGACACACGTAAGGGAAATTGCAGCTATGAAACAGACGAAATTCAAAAGAGAAAAATTATCAACGACAACGCAAAAATAAAACCCTAGATAGAGAAAGAAATCAATCAAGGGCAATATAGAGACACCTTCTGGCGCTTCCAGGTGAGGAACTGGGGCTGAGTGATAGACTTAGCCCTTGGTCTTTTGCTGCACTCTTCGCCCTTCTTTTCCTCTGTTCCCATGGCGATGGAATTTCCTGTATTTCCTATTTTTGCCAAACAAAATGGAACGTTGGTCGGTCGATACATGGCGCGGTTGCGGACTAGACAAGACGGCGCCGTTTGAACGTTCATCATATTCGCGGAGTGTGTGTTTGTTTTGGATAATTATGTACGTACCTTAAAACTTTGTAGAAATTTCTTTCTTTTCTTTCTTTCTTTCTTAAAAATAAAATATTTATTCTCTAAATAATTATATAACTTAATTTATCATCATTTAAGATATCGAAAAAAAATGCTATGCTATTAATTATTCTAGTTACTTCATATTAATATTTTAAAAAATATATTTTTTGTTAATTTATTTTGGTGGAACAAACAATGGAGGACCAGGTATTCTATTTAATTTAATAATTGAAAATGAAAAGGGTGTATTTTCATTTTTTTTTTTTTTTTTTTTGTGTTTTTAAAGATTTACAGATAGGCTGCATAACATATATTGTGTACGAATATAGCTTGGGCACATAAATGAAACATACAGTGTGTTTATTATTTTTGCAGATTTTATTTATTAGAGGTGACAAATAAACAAGTGATATGTTGAAATGGGACATCAACAATTAGTTTGTTTAGAATGAATACACGTATTTATAGCATCTCCCACAGACAGAAAAATCCATCCCCTTCCAGTTCTCTCTATAAATTTTGAAGATTTTAGCTTGTGAATCACTTGCCATCTCGGACTAGCTATTGCCAACTGCGAAAACAACAGATAACCTTAATTAAAAACATCATCGAAACAAAAAACAAAAACATTAAACATAGGTAACCTAAGTTACTTGTATGCCATTGCCAGATGCAATCAGCTCTCTCTGCAACTCCTCCATTGCAATCAATCCTGAAGTGTCAATGTTCATCACATCTGTATGTTTTATCAAATTAAACTTTTTAAGTTAACCGATTCACCTTATTATTTAAGACAGATATATGATTATAGATAGCTGGAATAACTCACTGGACATGTCAACAACTACTGCTTGAACCATTCCCTTGTGCTCGTCTTGGATTGCCCACCTTACTATCCTGCAACCAAAACCAATTCATTCATCATTTCTGCAAACACCAATACACTCTTGCTATCTCAATATTACCTTTCTCTGATGAAATTGGCATTAGCAAAGCAGAGTAAGGCAGAGTTTATACGGAGTGTTAGGATGCCAGGAATTTGAACAGCCATGGGATACTGACTAATCTCACAAAACATATCCGTTCTTGGAAGCCTCCCTACTGCTTCAACCCCAGGTCGAATTGAATATACCAATACTTTTGCAAATGAGATGCTCACCTGTATCACACATACTTTTTTAACTATACAATACCAAAATACAAAACTTATATGACCCACTAGTCCTTCCAAAACTGGGAATTTTATAATAAAAAATATTGCCCCCACCCAACAAATACAAGTCCCCTTACATTAAATGTTGATCAAGATATGGACTAGTCCGATTGGGACAACCCATATGTTCAGATCTACTTATCTCTATAATTTGCAAAACAAAAAAAAAAAATGCTTAAATTTACCGCGACCAAAAGACCAATCTCCACCGAAACAAACAAGACGCCGAAGAAAGCACCAATGCAGGCCAAAAAGTCCAGCTTCTCCACTTTCCAGATACGATAGGCTTCCTTTATGTCAATCAGTCCTGGGAGAGCTGATAAAATGATGGATGCAAGTATGGCAATGGGCGTGTAGTATAACAACCTGGTAAATAATTCTAGTGATACCAATACAGTAATCGCCATCACTATGTTTGATACTACCGTTTCACATCCTGCACTGAAATTCACTGCGGTTCTCGAAAATGAACCTGCATATACAACACAAATCAGTATTTTCTTTACTTCTTTTCCAAGTTTAGCTCCAAAAACTTGACCCCCCCAAGAAAAGGAAACATTGTATATTCACCAGTTGCCACATAGCAAGAAGATAAAGACCCTGCAATGTTCATGAAGCCCATGGCTATCATCTCCTTGTTACCCTCAAGATGGTAGTCTTTAATCGAAGCGAATGATCTACCAACGGCAATGGCTTCCTGAAGTAAATATTTTTCATAGTTACTTTGAGAAAAAAAGGCAAGCTCATGACTTCAAATGTTCTTTTTATGTTTTTATGCGAATATGAGTAACTTACAGTAAGAGCAACAAGTGCAGTAATTAGTCCTATTTTGGCAGCTTCTCCCACATGTTGACCACTTAGCTGCAACTGATGGGCTGAACTTGGATTAAGACCACCTTTAATGTGTTTTACTATCTGAACCCCATGCTTATCTGCTTTAGTTAAATACACAATTAACGTGGATAATATAACTGATACAAGTGGAGCCATAGCTGGGAACCAGAACAGTTTCTTGTTTCTTCTTCCCTGCAGTTTTTCACGGCTTTCTCAACATAAATTTATTAAAAAAAAAACTATATATATATATGTTGACCGACAAAGAATGAACCTTACAATAAACCTGGCAAATAAAAGGAAGATGAGGAACGAGCAGCCAATGACAAAATTTAGAGGATACCACTGCAAATAGTACAGAAATGTTAAATTCTCAAACCAAAAAAAAAAAATCCGCATGAAGAAAGAATTCAGAACTTCTAGATTGTGATAGGCTTTGTGCAAAGATTAACTTACTGGAGGATGCATTGACCCAGAAACAGACTTGACGACAGAGACAATATCCGTATTGTTGGTGAAGTGACTCAGTCCCAGCAGGCCTTTAAGTTGCTGGAGACCAATAACAATGGCGGCACCAGCCATGAACCCAACAAGGGCTGCATGTGAAAGAAAATCTACCAGAAACCCGAACCTTAAAAATCCAAACATAGCTTGGAAGGTGCCAGCGAAGAACGTGACGGTAAAAACAAGCTTCCTGTAGGCAATGGGATCAGCAACTGGATCTTCTATCTTCTGAACCATTGCAGAAAGCAGTAGCGAGACCACTGCAACTGGTCCAATGGCAATCTCTCTTGAAGTGCCCATTAGAGCATAAATCAGAGGCGGTACGACGCTGGTGTCTAAACACAGCAGAATGGCAGTTAATATGTATTCATTTGCTGACTTTTTAACCTCAAACTAGATAGAGCTGGACTGAAGAGTTACATACATAGACCAAACTGAGGATCGAGCTTCGCTAAATTGGCATATCCAATACTCTGCAAATACATATACAAAAACACAGCTGAGAAAGAAAGTTAGATATATGCAAATATGGCATATATATCTTTAATATACCTGAGGAATGCTCAGGCTGGCAAGAGTGAGACCAGCCATCAAGTCATTTTTGAACTTAGAAGCCTTATAGTTTCTTCCCCAGCTAAGGATGGGAAAAAAGGTTTGAAGGAAGGATAAGGCTCGTCTGGTGCTAGTGTGGTTCGAGGAAGAGGAAGAAGACTTGAAAGTGGATCTAATGGAACCAACAAGCTCGTGCCATAAACTTGGTGGCTCAGGAGAGTCCAGCAGCCATCTTGCTCTCTCAATGCTACGGCACTCTTCCATCTCATCTTTTTGCTCTTCTTGCCTCTCTTCCACACTCAAAGAACCCATCACTTTTTTCAGACTGTTCCAATGAATTTTCTCATCTATATATACACCAGTAAATTGCAATAACAATCCAAGTAATTAGAGTAAGTTATGTTCAAGGTATTATTAAATTCAAAAAAGTCACACACATCAGCTAAAATTTTTCAGAAGTTAGCTGCATCAGCAGTCAGATTCACAAAAGTGAAAATAAGCCTAAAAGAAGCTCCCCTGTTATTAATTACCATAAATCTCCAAAGAACTGACCTCATAATTGGACGACAAGGTTGACTGTCCGTTTATTTATTTATTTTTTTATTATTATTTGTATAATAGTAGTTGAATAATGGAGCCCCACTGATAAATATGGTGGGGGGGGGGGGGGTGACATTTCAATTTTTGTAACTGCTTGGAAGAGAGACACTAGTAATATCATGTTTACACATGGTGCATGAAATTAATTTTTCATTAATTAATTAGAATAAAAAAGAGACCCATTCGTATTATATATCATGTTGGATGGATTGTTTATCCTTTTCATTTAATCACCATTTTTTTTTTTTTTCGAGATCATGCAGTAAAAGTTTTTTTTTTAAAAAAAATCAATTTTGTAAAAAATTAAGTGATTTCAACATCAAATCAAGAATTTATTCAAAAAAAATCTAATAAAACGAATATTTTTTTATTTGAAAAAGAGAATAAAACCAGAATTCAAACTTCATTGTTCATTAAAATATAAATTAATTATTTTGCAATCTATTTTGTGTTTATTTTATTTTAATCAAAACTAACAATATATGACATATATGTGCGTCCCCGTGTTAATTTGTGTGAGATACATGTATATATATATATATATATATATATATATATATATATATATATATATATATAACGTATGTACATGTTGAACAGCATATGATCCCTCTAATCTTTGAATTGTTCTGAAAAATAAATTAAAAGATAAGCATGTGACGAATGGTCTAGTCGAGCTTCTGAAAATTCATTATCGTTTCAAAAGAAAAAAAAAAAAAAACAAGTGTAAGCATTGCTTTGTTATATAAACTTCTTTTTGGAGTGAAAATTGTTGTATTTAAATAAATATTTAGAATACAGAATCACCTTCCATATCAATTCAATAAGACAAAAGAAAAAAAAAATTAGTGGAATACGTACCTTGATCTATTGTGAAATTATTATTCCTGATGGTTAGGATTTGATTCTTTCAATTTTAAAAAAATTTAGAATTTGTAAGTTTTTTTTTTTGAAGGGAGAAAGAAAAACATCTTAACTATTTAAATTAGAAACCATAACTCCTTAAAAAATACATGCAAATCTATATGCTTTCATTATTTCTAATTTGACCGCTTATCAAATTAGAAATAATAATTTGATCTCTACACATTAAATCTATGATATATTGATGTGTGACTATTGATGAATATAATTACGTTAAATGTGACAAAAATTCTTTTAATCACATATCAGTACGATCAATGGACAAAATTGTCCATAATACCTTCGAGCTCATAAGGTTTTACACACTTATAAGATAACATATATGGCCCAAGTGGAAATGATATAAAGTCAATCATAGATGTGTAACATGAAAATATATGTAAGGTGATTCAAACATGTCTATTTCTAAGTAGTCTTATTTTAAACTTTATTAAGATCAAACTTTAACACAATAAGATAGAGTGTGAACAAACATAATACTTTATTTATGCAGAAAATATCTAAATATTTAAAATATGTCTATAATGTGGAATAGAGAAACAAATCACACACAAGTAAACACCCACTAGACTAGAATATTCTCAAATGATATAACACTCATATGAGTAATGTACTCATGAAAAACTTTCAGTGTTAATCCCTTAGTAAGCGGATTCGCAATCATGGACAGTGTCTTAATATGCTATATAGAAATCTATCCACTCTGTACCCTTTTTTAAAAAATTAGGAACTTTATGTAAATATGTTTTGATCGAGTTGGACTCCTTTTTTTATTAGAATATAAAACTGCCAAATTATTGTTACAATATAAGTTTAGTGGTTTTTTTAATACCACTTAAGATGCGCCACCCAGTGACAAAATTTTACAACTATATTGTGTGGTTGGATGCCTCATAATATACTACAAATTCAGTTGATATGGTGGAAGAAGTTATAAGTGTTTGTTTATCACTTTTTCAGAAAATAGCTCCCTAGCCAACTTATAAATGTACCTTGAAGTGGATCTCATACTATCTTGACATCCAGCATAGTCAGAATATGGATACTTAATGATCTCCAAATGATCTGACCTTTTATATGTGAGTATATAACTCTTAGTTCTCTGTAAGTATCTCATATCCCTTTTGACTGCTTTCCAATGATGCATCGTAGGGCTACTTAAATATTTTCCTAGCATTTCAATAATGAATGTTATGTCTAGACGTGTGTAAACCTGAATATACATCAGACTCCCAACTGCCAAGACATAGAGAATCTTCTGCATTTCTTTAATTTTAAGGTCATTCTAAGGACACTGATTGAGACTGAACGGGGGTATCTCTTTGTTTACAATCTTGCATACCATATCTTGTAATCATATTTTCTATATAGGTCTTTTGATATAATCCAAATATACCTTGAGAGTCATCCCGAGGTATATGAATTTGTAAAACAAAAGAAATCTCACCAAGCTCTTTCATCTCAAAATTATTTGATAAAAATTTCTTGGTCTCGTGCGATATTTCCTTATCATTGGTAGCAAGGTGTATGTCATCAATATACAAAACTAAAAATATATACCTACTCCCATATAACTTGTGACACACACAATCTTCAATAATATTTATCTCAAAACTAAATAAGACAACTACTTCATAAAATTTATGATATCATTGACGAGAAGTCTATTTGATTCCATAAATGAATTTTCTTAATTTGCAAATCATTATTTTCTTTGGGTCAGTAGACACAAACTTCTCCGGTTGCACCATATAAAGTATTTCATCAATTAATCTCACCAGTGAGAAACGTTGTCTTAACATTCATCTGTTGTAACTTAAAATAAAAATGTGCAACAAGAGCCATTATTGTCCCAAAAGAGTCTTTCAATAAAACTAAAGAAAAAATCTCTTTGTAATCAATGCCTTCTTATTGGGTAAAGTCTTTAACTACAAGATAAGTCTTAGATATTTCAATATTACCTTGTGAATCTCTCTTAGTCTTAAATATCCATTTGCAACTAATACGTTTATTATCTTTAGGTAACATGACAAAATCCTAAACTTGATTATCTTGCATAGACTTGTATTGATGTGGAACTTGGGATTAACAACGTAATCCAAAATTCTGCATATACATCAACAAGTAGAAACTCAAAACCAAAATTATTGGAAAAAAAACAAAAAAATAGAATTGAAAAGATGACACGAGACTTATATCGATAAATGATTCCAATTCTTAGAGCAATAAGCTAGTCAAAGACCCATTTACTCACTCTTGAAGGTTTGGAAGCTTAACAACAAAAATACCTTGAATTTTATTAATAATTTGAATTGTGTTTACATAACGAGGTGGTGGCCTCTATTTATAGAGTTTGGTCATCCTTAGTTGACTCAAACTAAGAAATAAGAATCCTAAACATAATTGTTAATTCTAATTTGAATAGAAAAGAAAACTTAACTAAAATTAAGACTCAAATACTAAAGAAAAAAATTATTTAATAAACTATTTTCTCCCTAGGTGGTTACGCTCTCATTTGGATTCCCGTTTTTAAAGTCTTATTTTTTTTTGGTTGGCTTCTAATTCCTTCTATTTTAACTTTTGCATGTTGCAATTTTGGACACAAACTCCTTTGGCAGAACTGGGCTCAGTCTTGACTAATAGATACTAGGTAGGATTCTGCTTCTTCATGGCTATTCATGCACAGTCTCTTTCTATTCTTCTTCTCATTGTCTTCGGTTTTCTTTTCTCTACTCATCTTTAGTCTTTTTCTTCCCCTTTTCTTCTTAGGGTATAACCATGGAAGCTTTTTTTCTTTGCTGTAGATCGATTAAACAGTTATAGAAAAATTGAAAGTTCCTTATCTAGTTTGGTATGTATCTACTGTAGGATTTCTTTTCTCTTTGACTTTTTTATCTCAGCTTTCTCTTCTAGTTATTATGATCAATTCTCCATCTGAATTGTTTTTGTTTTTGCAAGTTTTGCAATTTGATTAAGAGGACTCATGCCTCCCTAAAGAGAAACACAGCTCTGGCTTCTTAATTTGGTGTAGTTCCCATGAGGTTGAGTGGGTTTGCAACTCCATGCCCTCGGCCATGCTCTTCCCATGTCAGAACCAGATATGGCTGGTATTCCTATTGTTTTCTTAAACATGTTCTTATAGATTCTTGGCCTTCAAATTTGATTTCTTAGGTGACCCAGCCTTAGACAAGAAGATATAAAGATTTTTAGAAGCTTTTGGTGCGGGCTCAAGTGATAAGTCCCTCCAAGACTTGAATCTTTCTTATCGCTTCTCCCCAACTATCTTCTTAGTCTTTCAGGTAGGTGTCCTTTATTGTGTCTCTTATGTATAGATTTATATTATCCCCTCATTCTTCGAGAGGATTTATCCTCGAATTGTCACCTGTATCAAAAAGAAAAAAATAAAAAATATTAAATGTAGTAGACACTCCGTACTCACCTAGGAGATCAATTTTGTAGGCATTGTCATTGACACGCTCTGTGTCTCTTATGTATAGTTTTACATTATCCCCCCATTCTTCGAGAGGATTTATCCTCGAATTGTCACCTGCATCAAAAAGAAAAAAATAAGAAATGTTAAATGTAGTAGACACTCTGTACTCACCTAGGAGATCAAGTTTATAGGCGTTGTCATTGACACGCTCTAAAACTTGAAAAGGTCTCTCTCTTTGAGGATTCAACTTAGATTTTTATCGATCAAAAAATCGTTCCTTTTGCATATGAACCCATACCTAGTCATTGGATTGGAGAACTACTCATTTCTTTCCTTTATTGGCGTTTTATACATAAGATTCATTTTTCTTCTTGATATATTGTCTAACTTTCTCATTTATACTTTTAATAAATTCGGCTCTTTACTGACCATCGGTGTCCTGAATTTCCCACAAACGTAAAGGCGTGAGATCTAACGGAGTTAAAAAATTGAAACCATAAAGAATCTCAAAAGGTAAAAACTCTATAGAGGTATAAATGCTCATATTATATGCA